TCATTTGCCAATCATCATTTCAATAAAGTGTGGCCCTCACTCTGCAGAACCATCTCGGGTTCCATTTGATCTTACAAGGAACATCGACTGGCAGAAATATGCAACGGCGGTGACAATCGGTGTCGAATCAATAGATGCGCTTCCACCATTGGAAGAATATCGATTCCTAGCCGATTTGATTTACAAAAGCTCACTGGAAGCACAAAAAAGAAAAGTTCCAAGTGCACCCTTTAAAAGGAGACCAGCCACACCTGGTTGGGACGAAGAATGCACAAAATTGTATGTAGAAAAATCTGATGCTTTCAAAGCTTTTCGTAGACACAAAACCTCCACTTACTTCGAGGAATATTCAAAGCTTGAGACAAAGCTGAAACAATTAATCAAAGCAAAAAAACGCGGTTATTGGCGCAATTTCGTCGAGGGACTCTCACGAGAAACCTCAATGAACACCTTGTGGAGGGTGGCTCGCAACATGCGTAACCGCTCATCTTTCAATGAGAGTGAAGAATACTCCAACCGATGGATATTCGATTTCGCTAAAAAGGTCTGTCCGGACTCAGTTCCAGCACAACATATTCTTCGAGAAGCGTCTCCTAGCGGCGGCTCTCTGGATAGACCATTCTCAATGCTGGATTTCTCTATGGCTCTTCTTTCATCGAACAACTCCTCACCGGGAAGCGATATGATTAAATTCAATCTTCTGAAAAATCTCCCAGATATCGCTAAAAGACGCTTGCTAGATTTATTCAATTCCTTGCTAGAAAACAACATTGTACCGCCTGAATGGAGACAGGTCAAAGTAATAGCCATTAAAAAACCTGGCAAATCAGCGTCTGACCATAACTCATACCGTCCGATTGCCATGCTTTCGTGCATTAGGAAATTGTTGGAGAAAATGATCCTTCGGAGACTCGATCAGTGGGTCGAAACAAATAATTTGCTATCAAATACACAGTTTGGGTTCCGCAAGAGCAAAGGAACGAACGATTGTCTAGCGCTGCTTTCCACAGATATTCAACTGGCCTTTGCACACAAGGAGCAATTGGCTTCAGTATTCTTGGACATTAAGGGGGCTTTTGATTCAGTTTTCATTGAAATTCTGTCAGACAATCTGCACAGATGTGGACTTTCTGGAATTTTAAATAATTTCTTGTACAATTTGTTGTCAGAAAAGCAAATGAACTTTTCTCTTGGAAAACTGACAACTTCCAGAATTAGTTACATGGGCCTGCCCCAAGGCTCATGTCTCAGCCCTCTTCTTTATAACTTTTATGTCAAAGATATCGACAACTGTTTGGCAGAACAATGCACGCTAAGACAACTTGCAGATGACGGTGTGGTTTCCGTAAGAGGTCCACATGCCGTGGACTTGCAAGGACCATTGCAAAATTCCTTAGATAACTTGTCTTCTTGGGCTATGAATCTAGGGATTGAATTCTCGCCGCAGAAAACTGAACTGGTAGTGTTTACTCGAAAGCGGTACCCAGCCCAAATGCAGCTTAATCTTTTGGGCAGAAACATTACCCAATCATTGTCTTTCAAGTACCTTGGGGTCTGGTTTGATTCAAAGTGCACTTGGAATGTCCATATTACGTATTTGAAGCAAAAATGTCAGCAGAGGATCAACTTTCTCCGTTCAATTTGCGGCACATGGTGGGGTGCTCATCCGGGAGACCTCATAACGCTTTATAAAACAACTATTCTCTCTGTTCTAGAGTACGGCTCTTTCTGCTTTCTCTCGGCAAGAAAATGTCACCTAATAAAATTGGAACGAATTCAATATCGTTGTCTGCGTATTGCTCTTGGCTGTATGCACTCAACGCATAACATGAGTCTCGAGGTTCTGGCAGGAGTAACACCCCTCCAGAACCGTTTCTGGGAGCTCTCTCTCAGAATACTAATCAAATGCGGAGTGACGAACACACTTATAATTGCTAATTTTGAAGAAATTCTTGGGCTGAACACACAATCTCGATTTATGAGAATCTATCACCACTACATATCATCAGATATGTGTCTTCCTTGTTATACTCCAGACCGTGTTCACTTCACCAATCGCAGTTCCTCAATTGAATATGATCTGACCATGAAACAAGCAACTCATGGGATTCCCGATCAACTTCGACCTATTATTATCCCACGTATTTTTACTGAAAAGTACCAACAAGTCAATTGCATGAAAAGATATTTTACAGACGGGTCCCGTCTCAATGGATCCACTGGCTTCGGTGTCTTCAATGAAAACTCTAGCGCCTTCCGCAAACTTCAGGAACCTTGTTCCGTTTTTGTTGCTGAGCTGGCAGCAATCAACTTCGCATTGGGGATGATTTCCAACATGCCCGCAGACCATTACTTCATCTTCACGGATAGTCTCAGTTCGATTGAGGCTATTCGGTCGATGAAACAAGGTAGGCACTCATCTTATTTCCTTTCAAAGGTAAGGGAGCAGATGTGTGTGCTGGTCGAAAGATCATATATGATTACCTTTGTATGGGTCCCCTCACATTGCTCAATCCCAGGCAATGAGAAGGCGGACTCTCTCGCAAAGGTGGGCGCGCAGGAAGGCGAATTGTATGACAGGCAAATTTCACACGATGAATTTTACCATTTAGTGCGTCAGAGTACCTTTTCGAGTTGGCAAACCGATTGGGACACTGGAAATCTTGGACGGTGGTTACATTCAATTATTCCTAATGTTTCTTCGAGAGCGTGGTTTAAAGGCTTGGGCTTAAGTCGTGACTTCATTCGCGTGATGAGTAGACTTATGTCCAACCACTACTCGCTAGATGCTCATCTCAATAGAATAAACCTCGTGGACAGCAACATCTGTCGGTGTGGAAACGGTTACGATGACATCGAACACGCAGTTTGGCAATGTACGGATAATGACGCCGCCAGAGAGCGACTTTTGAATACCCTCGAGGCCCAAGGAAGACAACCCTATGTTCCTATCAGAGACGTGTTGGCAACCCGTGATCTCTGCTATATGCAGTCCGTTTATGTTTTTCTTCAAATGTCTAGTATAAGAATTTAATTCCTTTTGTCTTTTGTCTCACTTTATTAGTTTTTGTTTGTCTTGTCCCCCCGTCTCGATGAGTCTCATCGTCGCCCACTGGTCACCCACCATAGCCGGTCGAACTCCGGACGAAGCTAGAACAGCACTACCGTTCATACTGGCGACAACGCTCTGATGAGACAACGGAACCCTACCCCAAGCTCCTCCCCTGATCCTATCCTTCGAAAATGTACCCTTCTAACCTCGAGTAAGCCGCGAGTAATCGGCCCAACTCCTACTAGACATAGAATTAAGTGAATTTTGTTACACACAGTGAACAATGAATTATCGGCTCCGTAAAGCTAACGCGATTGAGCCTTCCAAATAAACGAACTAGATAAAAAAAAAAAAAAATATTTGCATGGATTGCAGTGACCGCCAGCGCTACGAGTAAGTTTTGGGTTTTTAGATTTACATAAAACATATCCGTAATAATAAAATAAAATAAAGAATAAGGAAAAATGTATTTAATTTAATTGATAAAACCAAGAAAATACCTTGAAACAATATTCAAGCGAATTACAGTTGAGTCGGTAACCTTTTAAAAAACTACAGATCTTTCGGTAAATTTCATTTTCCATATCGACTCCAAAATTACAGTTCTCCGGTAAAGTCGATTACAAATCAAGCTTATTTTTTCGGTAAACGTTACCAATCATTCGGTAAATTTGACAGCTAATTTTGCTGATTCGATTTTTCGGTAATGTTTTCGTTTACCGAAAACATTACCGATCGTTCGGCTGTTGAGAATTCAGTAAATGAATTATCGAAGTCGGTAATTTTTTCTAAGTGTGGCATATTTGAGAGCCCAGAATGTTTCAAAGATACGGAACATCAGAATTGAATGAGGATTTATGTGAGACTTATTTTGATTGATGGGAGGGCGCGTCTTTGGAGAGGTCCCAGATCTCTTCAAATGATACGTAACATCTCAATTGAAATAGGATTCTCATGAAAACTATTTTGATTGATGAGAGGGTGCGTCTTTGGAAAGGTCTCAGGACGCTTCGAATGATGCGGAACATTACAATTGAATGAGGATTCTTTTGAAAAGATCAAGTACCGTGGCGAACCGAAATCCGTACACCTAAGAAATGAATCAAAATCCGTACATGTCATACAAAACGCCTACTTTTTGTATTAGGTGTACGGATTTCGATGCTGTACGGATTTCGGTCCCCCACGGTATATATGATTTAACTGTGTTGAAAACGAATACCTCATTACTTTTTCATAATAATGAGGTACTACGACATGCACTAAACAAAGGACACGGAAATATCAGAAAAGATTAATGTATTGGTCGCAGTGATTATTACTCGAACAGAGGTGGAAAAATGGTTTCCGCTTCGGTTGAGGATAGGGTGAAGAACTACTTTGGTATATGCGCCCATTTCCATTATATCCTATCCAAAAACATTAAATATATCAATGATTTCCATATGAACAGATCATATGTTTGGTATAATAGTTCACATTTTTTTTTTGCTGTCAACCGTTGAATTGAATCCAATGACGTTTCAATGTGTTTGGATGGAATTACAACCCGTATGACGGAATTGGAATTAAGAAGCAGTGTTAGATTTTCATCAATATCTCAACAATTTGTGGCTCTCTATCAAATTTATTGTTCAAACCCGTTCGATAAAGAAAATTAAACTGCGGGTTGTGCTTAGTATGACGGAAATCACCTAAATTCTTCTTTAATTTATGACCGCTCCAACCAACCAGCCTATCAGTCTATTACTGTTTCATATACCTTCAGGGTAAGGTAAGAATCCAGTCAATCAAATAACAGCTGTACACTATTAAACGTCCAATCTTCACTTGAGAGTAGATTGCTCCCAAGACGGTGTGACATTGTAGCTTTTGTCTTTTACTTATTTTTGTTTCGTGTTTTTTTTTTCGCTTTTGATGTGCATCTACTGGATGAAGTAATTCTCACCTTTTTGTTCGTTCTCTTCTTAGTACAAGCACTTTCTCATATGCTGCGATCTGCATGCGCCTCTCGGTCCCGATAATCCACGGCGGAAATGACAAGCAAGTCTTCCATCCGTTGCTGGTTACTTTCCACACCGATGCAAGACGGCGCTGATGCTCTTGATGGTGATTGTTTTTCAGTTGTTTTTTTTTCGGATGCCTCTTACTGTAAATTAACTTCTTTCGATTGTTTTCTTCACGTTAGCTGCAAACAAGTTTTCTGCCAAATGATGTGGGTTTGCTGATCTTACATTGGACTTTTGGTTATATTCTTCACTTGTAATCGCACTCGTTTTCTTCCGATCGCTCACAATTCACAGTGAGTTGTGAACCTCACCTGAACATGTGGCCGATTTTCTAATTTCCACTAACAATTTTCACCACCTTTCGACACCTTCCTGGCATTTCAGGTTCGCAAAGATCAGCTTTTACGACTTTCTGCGCCCTGGTGACTTCGCAGCTCTTTCCTATTCAGGGCAATAAGTGACGGCGAAGTCGCGTTAAAAGGTAGGCGCAGCTCAGGTTCCTCGCGCCGCCATCACGCACACCTTAAGCATATGCACACACGAGACTTCAACAGGTAAGTAAATGTAGGTATTATATTTGACCGGATCAGCTTGCGAGCCAGCCAGTCAACCATCAGGTAGGAATACCATACGTACGCAATAAGCCAAAGCACGACCACCACGTTTTGGATACGCGCGTTCGTTCGCTCGCTCTCCCACACTGAACTGAGCCACTGAACGACTGACTGACTGAACAACGTACCTAATGTGTGACCTGTCCGCTGGAATCAACGATGAGAACTGAAGCTGGAAAACAAAACATTAACCATCGCCTCCCACGGGTTGTTGCTTGCCGTCGCGTTGCTTACTCACTCGCTGCTGCCCTGCCGTATAGACGTGGGTCGGTTGAATGTTGTGCAATGCAATGTTTGTTCTTATGTTCGATGTTCTCTCGCTCTCCCATGCCGGGACACTTGAATTGGGAGTTGGGAGGCATCCCCCTGTTGGTTATCCGTTGGGCGATGTTGAGTTTCCCATATTCGTGTGAGAGAAATCAATGTTCGTTCTCATAACTTGTATGCAATTGTTGCATACAAATCACGAATGGCGCTTTGGAAAGGCAGTGAAACCAACAATCAATACGAAACTAACGATTTTAAATTGGCTCACCACTTTAGTAGCCTATTGGTCCCAAGCAAACGATTAACGTACCCTATTCTAGTTGAAATTCTATTACTACACTATGTTTGTTTTGATTCGCTATGAAAGTTTGACAGATAACATCAGGGGTGTGTGGATTCATGCAGAACATGCAGGGGTGAGTGAAATAGCTTGGGACTGCTTGGGACCGTTGTTCTGGTACTGAGTGAGCCAAAAATAATAACGATTTTCTTCGGGACCCAGTGGTCTTAGAGTTACCTCTATGGTGAAACGGTGTGTGATGCATTTTCATCCAAATGGCACCCCGCGTGGATGGTTCGTGGACATTAATTATAGATTAATGGGCCACTTTTTCACGCAGTTTTGGCGTGATTTTCTAACAGTGCACCAACAAATTACAATACATTTATGAAAGTCACAAACATGTCCATGTTTTTAAAAGGGTGACTCCAAACTTATGATCGGGAGAATAGTTCGGATTGTTTTGGATTTATGACCTGAACATGGACTCTAGAAGTCAGTGATTCAATAAATCTTGGACTTGGAAATTTTAAGATTAAAACAAAATCAAGATTCTGTAGAGTATAGAAATGTTTTCAGGATTTGGGCATTAGGAAAAATATTCAATATCATGGGTAAAATTCTGGAATTACAAAAATTCTAAAACCTCGGGTTGTTAAAGAAAACATTGGTTATTTGGAAAATTTAGGATGTTTGGTTCGATTGATGCCAAGATTTAACTGGTTATTTTTTATTATTTTTTTTTTATTTGACCCAAAACTACTAAATAAAAATTATTTACGTTTCCCAAATATGCGCTGTCCCAGAATGTATACAATTTATTATTGAAATAAAACAACGTTATGTTAATGAACTCAAATTTTTATTTCATATATATGTTGTCTATAGTATTCTCTTTCAATTGGATGAAAATAATCCGCAGTTCCTTTATTCGTATGCCAAGGAGCAAACTTTTGATCTGACGCTGCCCATGAGCTTCAGCACAGATTCCTTGGCGATAATTTTGACCACTTTTGTCCAGTCTTGTTTAAATTCCTCGATTGAATTCGCTACCTTAAAGTGTTTCCGTAGATATCCCTTGGAAAATGCCCAACAAGTTTCGAATTACCGGGCCTCCGGTCCATTCGTAGGATTCATCTCTTTTGGCACGTATTGCACTTTGTATGATTTGTACCAAGCTACCGTGCCTTTCGAGTAGTGGATTGACACCAAATCGGACCAAAATAGTACTGGGCCATGATGTTAACGGATCATGGGCCGCAGACGCCGATTCAAATACACCAGAATGTAAATTTCAGTGTTCTTCGACTCCTTCGTCACAATTGGTTTGACAACTTCCCAAGTAACCAAAAGTTCTGACAAAAGGCCATTTGTGGCTTAAGCAGCTTGTGACCGACGACTTTCGGGTTACAATAAATTGTTTGGTGGAAAGGCCAGTTGGAGGTTTAGACACACTGAAAAATTGTAAATATTTATGTTTTGTGTCGTCTAAGATTTCTCTGGCGCTCGAATGTCAAATAAATGTCTGTCTCCGCTTTGTATAGTGTTTGAGTGACGTTTATTTTTCATTTTGTAGTTTAAGGGTGTGTATAATTAACTGTATACTTAAAAGATGGCACATGTAATGCCCACTCAGACGGTGACCGTGGCTAGACCAGTTACCAGAGGCTTAGATGGAGGTCCTTCAGACCTCTGAAAAAAAATCAGTTAATTGTAGACTTCCTGGTTGGTATCTCGTGTATCAAAATATTTGTTTTGATTTTTGTTATTACTCCGGCTGTAAATATTAGTTTTTTTTATTTATTTATTTATTTATTTATATATTTATTTATTTATTTATTTATTTACTTATTTATTTATTTATTCAATATTTTTCATATTTATTTATTTATTCGCGGAAGCAAGTGTTAGGAATTTTGAATTTGTTAAGGCTATGCATGCAGCCACTTTGTCGGAGTAAATAAGTAGTTTGTTTATGATACCAACCGAAACCATTTTAGTGTGTAAGTTTTCGTACCGTCATCACGCCTGTCATCGTTCCGTCATCGTTCCGTCATCGCTCCTGTCATCATTCGTTCATCATCGCGATTCATCGTCATCGTCGTCATCTTTGTGTGTGTAGTGATGATAATCATGATGGGGTCGCTTCAATTGCGCTGACTCATCGACTGCTATAAAAAGGGGCGGTCGAATAGAGTCAGGCCTCTTTTGTATTTTATTTGTCCGGCGGAGTGAAGACAAGTGACGGTTGTGCGAGTTAGGACGTCAAAAACTAACCGTAGTAGTTCCGCGTAAGTTGGCGCTTAAGTATAGATTAAAATTGAAAATCTAAATCTTAAAACTTACAAATTAAAGTAATAAAAAAACAGCGATAATACCACACAACTTAAAAGCTTTAAAAAAAATTAATTAGTGCGGGTCAATTGTGGAAATCACCACGAACGGCTAAGAAAGTGCACCCCAAATGTAAGACGTTAGTCTTAGCCGCGTTATACCGCATTGACCGTTAACGCACGAATAGGTCAAGCGAGCTAGTGGTGAACATTTAAAAAAAACTGCAGTTGATGTGAACAATGTACAGTGGTCGAGCGGACAGTGAAAATAGTGGTATTGTGTAAAGACTGTGACTGTCCGTCTCACAAATGGTGGTGCAGCTCGCTTGATGACCACTAAAGAAGAACAGTGTATACACGAACGGTACCACTCCCCGGACACGGAACTCTGGCCCACATTATGAGAGCCTTACCGTCACGCTAGTGATTCCCTTGTTAAGAGTGGGAACAGTGCTGAAGCGAAGAAACCCCAGAAGAAGAAGAGGAAGAAGAAGAAGAAGAATAATGATTTCGTGAAGAAGCGTTCCGCTGATCAACGAAGTCCCAGCCACTTCCAGATGTTCCAGATGTTCCAGAGCAGATCAACAATCGGCCGCAACGGTGAGCTCACAGCATGGTTTTAAATAAAAGGTTAACCTACAAAACCACTCGATAATTTATCTTTAAAAAATTTATTAAAATGTCTTTGCCTTCTAAACCTCAACTGATTATATGTTCTAATTTTTGTTTGTAAAGAAAATCTTGTTTTCCGCCATCTTTTTTGTAAATTCCGCCTTTCCACCAATATTGGGATGAAAGTCTGCACCATTGCAATTTCTCCTGGAGATCAATTGTATATACGACCCTGAATGGCAAGGTAGGTAAAGCACCTCTTACATGCCTCAACCATACAAAGTAATAACTATCAATTGGCGCCCAACGCAAAATATCGGAAAAAGTGGTTTTCTTTATGGCCTGAAGAAAACCCCTTTTTCTAATGGTCTCCCGGAGAAATTTCAATTAATTAAAAATCAATTTCAATAAACGCGTGGTCATCAGTTCGATTTTGTGGTTTCAAATTAATTCGTTGTGAAGATTTCGTTAAAATTGATTTGCGAATTGTTGCGAATGATGATAACAAACCACGTAAATGCTCCTGTCATGATTGTTGAGTTTAATTGCAAATCAGAGGTTTGATCCACTTTATTAAATTAGAGCTCATTCTAGCCCTTCATAGTTTTTCAAAACTCTATTGGTACATTAAATTAATAGACAACATTATCTTATTTTTCCAAATTTTTAAAAACAAATTATGGTAAAATATATTTATTTTCTAAATTTGTCTAGCAAGGAAACTTAAACTGTGATAATTTATTTTGTGTTTCCTGTGATATTTATTCAGATGCTATTTATTATATTTGTTTAAAACAAGTATTTGTTTAATTATTTATTTATTTGCTGAAATATTTATTTAAATAATTATTTATTTATTATATTTATTTACAATTTATTCTAGAAATTATTTATAAATTTAGAATAATTGAATGCAAGATTTATTTTTGAATTAAATAATTCTAAATCCAAAAAGCTGAAATGGCTTCTGCACGCCTTACATTTGATCAAGCTAGTGAGCTTATTTTAGACTGGTATTATGGCATGCAAGTAGAATTTCTCGATCCAGATGAACTTGATTGGGAGTTGGAATCTCGCTCCGTTGTGATGGACAACAATCTCAATACATCTCAAAAGCGAAAATGGTTGAGAGAAAGCCTCAAAACCGAAAAAGAAGGATTGGTAGGAGTAAACGGACGAGCTGTCATAAGTGATTTGAGTTTGGAAATAGGTAGTTGCAAGCAGAAGTTTGTTGACATCAAGGAAATATGGCGCACGATAGAGAGTGTGTATGAGAAGAAAATTTATACCGCTCGTCTGCTACATGTAGGTGCTCGTATTGTTTTGATGTTGACTTCGGCAAAAGATTCACCAAATCCACACTCTCATTTACAAAATGTGTTGGTAGAATTGGCAGAGCTGTTGGAGCCTGTGTGCAACCCACAAGATCCGGAAATTCCAGAAGAAAATAACGATGAACCAGGGGATGTTCAGAGCGAAAATAACGACGAACCACTACCAAATCCCAGACCCAGAACCACCATCTTGAGTCAGGAGGACCTTGATTGGATTCATTCGTTGCAAAACAGGATAATGGACCTAGAAGGTGAACTTCGACGCAAACAAGGAAAGGACATGGGAACTCAAACCTCTTCCGAACATGC